CGTCTTTCACAGATAACAGGTAGGGCACGCTGACCATTGGAACTGGGTTATAAGGCTTGTTGGAAAATAATGTTCCGTCTCTATGTGACTGAGTTGTGGTCTTTGAGCTTGATGTCAGTAATGTTATTTTGTGAACCAAGTATTACGGATTTTTTTCAAGCACTCTCGCACATTCTGATCCATCGGGTTGTCTGTTTATTTGCACGTCTCTTTATACGTAATATTATAGATTTCCTAATCCGGATCCATATGTATGTTTGCATGTATAGATAGATAGATAGATAGATAGATAGATAGATAGATAGATAGATAGATAGATAGATAGATAGATAGATAGATAGATAGATAGATCACTGCTTCCCTTCCTAATTTTGAAACATTGTCGCAGTCAAATTCACCCATAAACGTAAACTTCATAAATGAAATGTAAAAAGACGCTCATAATCAACAATGAACAGTATGCCTTACATCCTAAACGGTTTCATTGCCACAGAAATAGCCTGTTCTCCCCTCTTGGGCCACTCCATAAGCAGTCACAAGCTTTGATTAAGTAAGCTTAAAGTGAGACTGGAAGAGTCTACCAACATAATTGAAGGGAACATGTGCATAGCAGTCTAAACTGTTTCATTGCCACATATACCCTGTTCATCCCTTTCGGGCCACAGTTATAATCAGTCTCAAGCACTGATTAGGTAAGCTAACTATTACACTGGTCGAGTCTACCTCACAGATGTGAGGGGAACTAACTCCTAATAATCTCTCACTGCTGCGAAAGCTTGTTTTTTTCCCCTCGACTTTTTACTGCCCTATAATCAGATCGTGACCTCGATTATGACACAGGCTCGTGGCCGCGAAAGGCTAGACAAAAAACAGCCAAATGTGAAATTTAAAAAATGATAATTGTCATGTTCTACCAAAGAGTTAGACTCCCTGGTAGATCTATAACATATAGATCTAGTACTGACATCTCTGCTTCTTTGCTTAGTGTTTGTGTATTCACATCTAGAGTTAAATTTAATTTTAATTGGAATTGATATTTAATGAGATACTTTCCCGATTATGTTGGCAGTTGAACATACAATAATGAATTCCGGATTTGTTTTCATTCACAACTCTGAGTCGCCGCCTCGAGCAAGGTTCTTGTGCGATATCCCCAGGCCATACTCGGTCCCGTTTCACTTTGATTACCCTGTCAAACAAGTCAGCCTTCGCCCCTGTGTGGAGTTATGGTTCTGCTCCTTAGACGAGCCCCGACATAGTATCCGAAAGCATCAAAGTGCTGAAGCAATGTTTCTCCCTCTGGTATCGATGTTCAAATCCTCAAGATGTCTCGATTTCTTTGTAGCAGTGTTGGGGCCAAAAACGCTACTCACATATAGGTGGTTAGGGGGTGGAGGGAGGGAGGGGGAATGTCCACGGAGATGAGTTGGGAAGACAAGAGGTGTGACCGCGCGCGTGCCCTGTTTCTGCGCTCTTTTTGCGCCTTTCAATGATACGCGAAGAGGGTGGTGAACGAGTGTGTTTAAAATGATAATAACATTATGCTCTTTTTTTTAAATCACCACTCACTGGTTACTCTACTCTTAGCCATTCTCTGTTGTTGTTGTAGTTGTTTTTTTTAGATCAGGGTTTTACGGCACATTCATCATTGCAGTATGTTACTTTGTGCTGTAAAACCCCCACAGAAGCAAAGAAACAGGGAATGTTCAATGCAGCAAGCCGCACCGAAAGAACACAAGGAAGAAGTAAACAAAAATAGTGAACTACACCTACCCACAATGGCTGTCGTTTATGTTATGAGTTTTACGAAAAGTATGGGTCAGACCATGAGACAATGTCAATGTTAAAGCTTATTATTGTCAGATAAAGGGGCAGAGCTGTAAGCACGCTAATTCGTTGGTGGCGGCTAGTAAGGAAGAATTTTTTTGTGGACCACACAGTCAGATACTGAATTATTGATGACATCCTTGTTCTATTCACGATAATGTCTCTAAATGATAAAAATGGCAAAAAAACAAACCCAGATAATTATGAAAAAGTCATTTTTGAACCAATAAAGATGTGAACATTTTATAGTGCGGTCAAAAATTCGTGGCACAACTTACCCTAAAATATATCTCTGACGGGTGAACCAATGTCATCTCTACTTTGCACAGCTGTTTGTATCAATTTGTCTTTACTTAATCGTATTTTCAGGCTTCATAAATTAATACAAAAATACTTTAAATCTCTTTCACGCGGAAAACGGGAATGTTCACTCCCCTCTTCTCACACACATTTTGCAAACGCGTATGGCCCACGTCAAAGGTCACCAATGACACTTTCTGGTGACAAAACTTGTTACAAAAAATTAATTTTATTGCGAACACACTTTTTTCACTTAAATTTTCAAAACATACGTTCAATAAAAATAGTGTCACGATTAGAAAAAAAGAATGACAGACTTGCTACTAAAAGTGATATTGTCCTAGCTGTAAACCGTTTAA